CTTCTGGGTGACGAAAGGCCTGGGAAGGGGCGTGGCCCCTTCGTGACTCGCCGCCAGGAAAGGGGAGGGACTCCAGTGACGCGTCGCGGGGAGGGGGCAGGCGTTCATTGATAAAAACGCCGGGCTCCCTCGGGCGCGAGCGCAGCGTACCAAATCCAGGCAGTGCCACGCGCGGCCGGGGCCGGGAGGAACCGAGAACAAGCGGGGCCCGCGCTGCGACGCGCCGCCCGCATGGAGCCCGCCGCCAGCTTCCTGTCCCCGCGCCCCTTCCCGCGAGCGGCTGCCCCGCCCGCGCCCCCCGCCGGGCCCGGACCACCTCCGAATGCCTTGCCGGGACCTGAGCTGGAGATGCTGGCCGGGCCGCCCGCGCCAGACCCTGGCCGCCTCATTACCGACCCGCGCAGCGGCCGCACCTACTTCAAAGGCCGCTTGTTGGGCAAGGTGGGCCGGGGGCGTCTGGGGGTGGTGCTGGCGGGGGCGGAGGGGGGCCGCCCCACTTCTCTTCCGGCGTCGGGCCTGTTGGGGGCGCTTGACCTGAGCGCGGGGACGTCTGCGGCCCAGACCCGCCCTCCCCTGGAGCGCCCAGCCTGATGCCCCCACCTCACAGGGGGGCTTCGCCCGCTGCTACGAAGCCACTGACACAGAGACCGGCAGCGCCTACGCTGTCAAAGTCATCCCGCAGAGCCGCGTCGCCAAGCCGCATCAGCGCGAGAAGGTGGGTCCAGGCCTAGCGGAGGAGGGGTGGGGTGGGGATGGTGGCGCGGGAACCCTGGGAGGATGGCAATCCCTGGCCTTCATCGCAGATCCTAAACGAGATTGAACTGCACCGAGACCTGCAGCACCGCCACATCGTGCGTTTTTCGCACCACTTTGAGGATGCTGACAACATATACATTTTTCTGGAGCTCTGCAGCCGAAAGGTGAGGATGGTGGTATGGGCAGGGATGGGGGTCAGGGAGAGAAGGGAGTCTTAAGACCCAAAGCTGGGGCCCTCAGCGGGCACAGATGGAGGGGGAGGGTCAGGGAGGGCCGACCAGGGGCTGAGGCAGTGCCTCTCTGCAGTCCCTGGCCCACATCTGGAAGGCCCGGCACACCTTGTTGGAGCCCGAGGTGCGCTACTACCTGCGGCAGATCCTTTCTGGCCTCAAGTACTTGCACCAGCGGGGCATCCTGCACCGGGACCTCAAGCTGGGTGAGAGTCCTGGGCCAGCAGGGTGGGGGGTTGGGGAGGGAGGGAGGAAGGACTCTGACACACCTACCTTTCTGCCCGCTTCTAGGAAACTTTTTCATCACTGAGAACATGGAACTGAAGGTGGGGGATTTTGGGCTGGCAGCCCGGTTGGAGCCCCCGGAGCAGAGGAAGAAGTGAGTGTTTGAGGAGAGGGTTGGCCACAGTCTGTGCATGACAGTGTGTGTGTATGTGCGAGGCAAGGTGACCGCCTGATGTGTGCACGTGATAAGTGGGGAAGGGATGTTGGATGTATGGATGTGTGAAGGTGCAGGTGGCAGCCTGGGTTACTGGGACTGGTGGAGAGGGTGAGGGTCCTGTAGGTGTGTGACACAGATGGGGAGGTGACCTTGAGTCCCTGATGGGGGGTGGAAGGATCCTTGGAGGTGTATGACTGACCCTGTGTGAAGGGGGAAGGGGACATAGTGCGTGTGTGTGGCAGACTGGAAGTATGTCAGTGGTGGGACGAGATACCCTGTGTGTGTAAGAAGACCCTCCCTGCTGTGGCCACTGTGCTGGGTGTGTATGACACAGATAGCATGTGTGGCAGATGAGTGTTTATGGGGGATATGACAGCTGGTGTTGTGTGTGTGGCACAGACTGTGGGAGGTGACAGCCTGATACGTGCCTGACAGACGAGAGTGGGGGAAGGGATCAGCAATGGACTCTGTTGACCCTGGAGGAGGGGGCTGGGCTGGGGGTCAGGGCCTCCCCCATCCCGAAGAGCAGCTGAGCAGCTGGGCCAGGCAGGTGGGTGGGGACTCAGCTGCCATCCCCAGCATCCATTGTCCCAGGACAAGCAGGAGCTCTCTAGCCTTTGGTGACAGGCAGCTGCTTTGTCTGGACTCACAGCAGGGGGAAGGGAGAGGGGCTGCTGGGCTGGGTCTGAGCCTTCCCCTCTCCTCCTCCCTACCACCTTCCAGGACCATCTGTGGCACCCCCAACTATGTGGCTCCAGAAGTGCTCCTGAGACAGGGCCATGGCCCTGAGGCAGATGTGTGGTCACTGGGCTGTGTCATGTGAGTCCCTGAGTCCTGGGTCCTGGGTCGGCAGCAGAAAAGTGGTGGGTGTGTGGGGGCATACCCTCCACTTACTCCTGACCCCTCATTCCCGCCCCACAGGTACACGCTGCTCTGTGGGAGCCCCCCCTTTGAGACGGCTGACCTGAAGGAGACGTACCGCTGCATCAAGCAGGTTCACTACACACTGCCTGCCAGCCTCTCGCTGCCCGCCCGGCAGCTCCTGGCTGCCATCCTTCGGGCCTCACCCCGAGATCGCCCGTCTATTGACCAGATCCTGCGCCATGACTTCTTTACCAAGGTATGTGGCTCCAGTCTGCATATTCCCAGGGGACTGAATTCCCAGGTGACAGGTCCCCTGGAACCTCAGCCTCTCTTCTCTGTTCATGGGGCTCCCTTCCCCAGGGCTACACCCCCGATCGGCTCCCTGTCAGCAGCTGTGTGACAGTACCAGACCTGACACCCCGCAACCCGGCTAAGAGTCTGTTTGCCAAAGTTACCAAGACCCTCTTCGGCAGGAAGAAGAAGAGTGAGTCTGGGGTGTCAGTGGGTGAGGGTGCAGAGCCACAGAGTGGCTCGTTACATGCATTTCGGGGGCGGGAGAGCGTGGGAGCCTGTGAACTCCTGGGCAGAGTGTGTGTTATATGGGCACTTGGGAAGGCCTCTATGTCATCCCTGTGGGTAGCAGTGGGGCTGGGCAGGATACTGAGGGTCTTGTCACCCCTCATCCCCAGGTAAGAACCATTCCGAGGAGCGGGACGAGGTCTCCTGTTTGGTGAGCGGCCTCATGCACACGTCCATTGGCCATCACGATGCCAGGCCCGAGGTGAGGTGCTCACATGGGCACTGTTCCCCTGACTCACCCCCACCCTAGCAGCTGAGGGAAGCCGCTGATAAAAGAGGGTGGTGAAGCATCCAGCCTCGTGGTGGCCTAATTGGCTGTGTCTCATTAACCAGGCACAGCTGACCTGGGGTGCCCCGGGAGCCAGGGCAGGGCTGAGCTGTGGACTCTCAAGGATTTGGATTTCGGGGCCTGGCTCACTTCCTTTCCCTTCCCAACCCCCTAGGCTCCAGCAGCTTCTGGTCCAGCCCCTGTCAGCCTGGTAGACACAGCACCTGAGGACAGCTCACCCCGTGGGACACTGGCAAGCAGTGGAGATGGTGAGGAGCCAGGGAGGATGACAGGTGCTAGAGGTTGCTGGGACTGAGACCAGGGGCCAGAGGGAAGGAGCAGGCAGGAGACCTGGCCTGGGTCCTGGGGGCTAATGTTTAAATCTCAATGCCCTGCTCCCTTCAGGGTTTGAAGAAGGTCTCACTGTGGCCACAGTGGTGGAGTCAGCCCTCTGTGCTCTGAGAAACTGTGTGGCTTTCATGCCCCCAGGTAAGGCTGGGTTCTGGTGCATGTAAATGGTGGTGGTGGCAGCTCTGTGGCTGGGAGACTAGGAGCAGGGCCTCACTCTCTCCTCTCCCATAACAGCGGAACAGAACCCGGCTCCCCTGGCCCAGCCAGAACCTCTGGTATGGGTCAGCAAGTGGGTTGACTACTCCAACAAGTTTGGCTTTGGGTATCAACTGTCCAGCCGCCGTGTAGCTGTGCTCTTCAATGATGGTACACACATGGCCCTGTCGGCCAATAGAAAGTAAGTGCTATTATGGGGTACCTGGCATTCAGGCTATTATACCCATCAGGGCTGCACCTTGGCGCATGCCCCTGGGCTCAGGGGCCTGCGGTTTCTCAGGAGAGGGGTGTTGGTGCAGGGCTCCCTCTGACCTCTGTTTCCCCCTTCCAGGACTGTGCACTACAATCCCACCAGCACAAAGCACTTCTCCTTCTCTGTGGGTGCTGTGCCCCGGGCCCTGCAGCCTCAGCTAGGCATCCTGCGCTATTTCGCCTCCTACATGGAGCAGCACCTCATGAAGGTGTGAGGGGTGGGGTGGGGCACTTGTAAGGACTAACACATCCTGACCCCTTCCGATTCCCCTTTGGTGGTGGTGGGGCTCAAAGCTAGAGGCTAAGGGAGGTGTCAGTGGGGAGGGGTCTGACCAGTTTCCCACCTGCCCCTGCTCCCAGGGTGGAGATCTGCCCAGTGTGGAAGAGGTGGAGGTGCCTGCCCCGCCCTTGCTGCTGCAGTGGGTCAAGACGGATCAGGCCCTACTCATGCTGTTTAGTGATGGTACCGTCCAGGTAAAAGCCTGTCCTGGAGTTGATGGGGAAGGTCTGGGAGGAGGCCCAGGGTGCTGGGGAAGAAACTGGGCCTGGGGCATAGGCCCTGATCACTGTCACCCTCCTGTGCACAGGTGAACTTCTACGGGGACCACACCAAGCTGATCCTCAGTGGCTGGGAGCCCCTCCTTGTGACTTTTGTGGCCCGAAATCGCAGTGCTTATACTTACCTCGCTTCCCACCTTCGGCAGCTAGGCTGCTCCCCAGACCTGCGGCAGCGACTCCGCTATGCTCTGCGCCTACTCCGGGACCGCAGCCCAGCCTAGGCCCCCCAACCTGTAGGGCAGGCTGCAACCCAAGCCCTCTGGCCTGAGGCCTGTACCTGCAAGGCTCTGGCCTTTGCCTTTGTGGCCCTCCCCGTCCCTTTGGTGCCTCACTGGGGGCTTTGGGCTGAATACCCCAGGGAATCAGGGACCAGCTTTACTGGAGTTGGGGGTGGCCTGTCTGTCCTCTGTCGCCTACCCTCTCTCCAAGACAAGCCTGAGCCTTAGCTCCCAGTTAGGGGGCGTTATTTATGGACCACTTTTATTTATTGTCAGACATTTATTTATTGGGATGTGATCCCCAGGGAGGCCTCCTGGGATAATAAACCGTTTTGTAGACTTGGAGGCCTGCTCACTCACAGTAGAGCCCATGGACCGTGGCTACCGCGAAAAGCGAGGCGTTGGTGTAGGTAGCCGAGGCCAGCCCGTCGGTCGCAGCGTCCCAGAGCGCGCGGCTGACCACGTGCACGCCCTGGCCGGCGCGCGGCCCCAGCACCACGTTGCACACCAGCTTGTAGCGCGGCGGGCTGAGCTCTCGCAGGCGCACACGCACCTGCTCGCAGAGCTCGCGCGCCAGCCGCCCGGCCTCGGCGCCCGAGTAGCACGTGTTGCACAGCCCCGCGGCTAGCGCCGCTTCCAGAGCACGCTGTGCGCGCGCAGCCTCCCAACGCTGCGCAGGCGCCGGCTCCGTGCAGTACGAGGGTGCCACCCGACGGGCGGGCGCCAGGGGCAACCCAGAGAAACTGACCCGCGAGGCTAGAGGGGGCCCAGGGCCCAGGGATGGTCGCCGACCCCCAGGGCCCGCGCCTGGCCCGGCCAGCGAGTTGCGGCGGGAGAAGGAGGCAGCCAGACCCAGCACGGAGCCACGGCGGGAGGCCGGGCCCAGACCTGCGGGTCGGGCCTCATCAATGCTGGGCAGGCGGCCTCGGGGCCTCATTGGTGGTAGTTTCGGCCCGGGGTCTTTGGCAGTCTCCTCCTCCTGGCGTCCTGGGGGCAGAGGCCTGCCAGCCATAGACCTGTCGGCTGGAAGACTCACATTTAGACAGGGTGGCCTTCACTGGCCGTCTCCTACCCTACCCAGTCTCTTGGTCGGTGATGTCAAGGGTTATTACCCGCTACCCACTTCTTACCTGTGTTTTTGGAACAAGTATATCAAGTAGTCCGGGGCTGCCTGGGTTGCTAGATACTTAGAGAGCTAAAGGCTGTTAGGGACATAAGCAGGGGAAGGGATGCGGCTCAGACTGTGATCCTGAGCTAGTCCCTGCCCCGCTGAGCTCCACTTTCCCTCGGGCACTGGTTAGCTCGGTCAGCTCTACACTTCCTTTTCTCCCTTCCACCTGACTTCACGAGCAGGAGGGGAGATGTAGCTGGCCTCTGCCTCAGCCTGGACTATGTGAGTGGTGCGCTAACTGCTAACCAGGAGGGATGGACAGATCTAACTTTTTCAGCCCCACAGATCCTTCTATCCCTAGGGTATCGAATCCAGTCATCTTCCACACTAATCTGCTCTAAGGTGGCTGGCACAAAGATCTCTCCTTCAACTGGCTGAGGCTGGAAGTAGGTGACTCATGAAGCTCCTTCTGCCTTCTGCTTTTGGCTTCTGACCCCACCTCTCCAGAATCAGTCCTGGGATGGCTGCCCTCTTCTCCCGAAACTCCCTAAGGCACCTGAGTCACCTGCAACCTTTGGCCTTCGATCTGTCTCCCGGCTGGCTCCTCAGCCCTTGCCCAGCTGGCCTGGCGGTGGGAAGGGAAGGGCCTGTGTTGTGGGGTTGCCATGGGTTGCTGGGGCAAGTACTCCTTCCTCCCAGGGTCCTTCCCTGCAGTCCAGCTCCGGCTTAACCTTAGAGTGTTACTACTGTGAGCACGTGCTGAGTGTGGGGTGCTGGGATATGGGGGAGAGACCTTGAGGCTGCGGGGGTGGCTGCTCTGGATCCAGGAATCAGGCCCACAGGAAGAGCACGTCAGGGCTCTATCTTCTCCCCTTCAGCCTCAACAAGGACAAACATTTCCGCTCCAGGCGCTGAGCTAGGGTGGGGCTTGGATGACTTCCTTGGTTCAGGGCTGTGTGCGGGGGAGGGGAGGCTCATTGGCTTGCCTGGTGGAAGCCAGGCCTGACGCAGTGGTGACTTGGTGGTGAACCCAAGTCCGGTCCCCTGACCCTTGCTGATCCAAGTGCCCTGAGGCTTGTCCCCAGCTGGCCACACCTCTAGTGTGCCCTCCCCACTTCCACCCTCTGTTGCATTTCAGGGATGCCAGAGGCTGTAACATCTCTGTCGGAGCTGACAACTCCTCACCTGACCCGGCTTCTGGGAGGGATGGTACTGTCCCCTTCCATACAAGGGCGGTCTGGGCCCTGGAAACCATCCCTGGGGGTGAGGATTTTCCTGTGTAATGAGGGTTCCCCAGGCCTAGCTAACCTGATCCTGCTGTGTGTCTGTGGAGGAGAGAAGGGTTAGGAGGGCAGGGAGTTTGAACAATGAGGCCAGGGCAGGCAACTGGCTGGAGTCCGACTGCACTTAGGGTCCCTCTGAGGGCTCAGCTTTCCCTGGGCCTGCAAGGGAGATGGGCGGGGCCTCTTCTCCGCCTTGCTCCAGTTTCCATGGAAACCCACAGGCTTCCCACCCCGGGGCTGGCGCGGGCAGGCTCCCAGCCGGGCGGCATCCGCCAGCCTCTCTTCCCCACCACAGGCCGCTCCAGCCCGGGTTCCTCCTGGCCCCTCCCCAGGCCCGTTCCTATTCCGGAGTCCCTGGCCTCTGATGCCCTCTTCCTTCAGGAACCTGGGCCTCCTGAGCTCCTGCCCCTCCGCCCCTGCGTCTCGGGCCTTTCTATTCTCTCCAGCTCTAGGGCCGGGCCAGGCCTCCTAGGCCGCTCTCTCCCCCACCCATGGAGGGCCCAGGACTGGTGGTGCGCGGCGAGGCTGCGCCCTTTTCCACAGCACTCCGAAGCCTCGTCAACAACCCCCGGTACAGGTGAGGGGGCCGTCTGCGGGTTGTCCCGGCGGGCTCTATTGGCCACGTGATGCTGAGGAGGCCCTGGGGGAAGAAGAGGTGGCAGTTAGAACCTGCCTTCCTCCCTGGTGGACTCAGTCTGTGGGGAAGTGAAGTGGAGACAGTGGCTTCTGGTCACGAGGTGTCCATGGTGTCCTGAGAACTAGAAGTGGGGGCAGTGGGGGTGAGAGCCTGGAGCTGCTGTGTGAGCTCAGGCAAAGTGCCCCCCTTCTCTGCATCTCAGGGGCTGCTGGCAGAAGAGAAAGATCCTCAGCCCCTTGGATCCTCAGAGGTGGGAGGTGACGATTCTCCCTCCTCCCTCCTAACAGCTTGGTGTCCAGGCTCCCTCCTGGAAGAAGCAGAGGAGCAGATGCCCCTGTTCTGGGAACTGGGGGTTCACAGAGGAACAAAGCTCAAGGGACTGAGCCAGAGTCCCAGGCAGGAAGATGCTCGTGTCGTCTGAAATCAGGGATAGAGTTTACCGGGGGCAGGGTTGGTCGGGAGAGCCAGGATGAAGCTTTCTGTCCCCACTGTCTCAGAGCTAGGCTCCTCCCCCACAGTTGGTGACTCCTATAACCCTGCTTCTTTGGGGGTCCCAGTCTGTCCTGAGTAGTGTGAACCCAAGGTTTTGGACCTGGGACTGGGCGGCTCCAGGAAGCTCAGGCTTCACCTGCCTTCTATCAGAGGCCCCATTCAGAGGCCCACAGACTGGGGCCGGAAGTGATTGTGAATTTGGAAAATGTGGTCTGGCTTCGTGCTGGTGCATCACTGCCAAGTCTGTTTGCAAGTGCACACTCTGCACCCCACACCCCCACACCCTCCTGCCTGGAGGAGGGCTGAAAAAAGCTGAGTTTGCAGCCAGTGGAGGAGGAGCCAAGAGGTGCTTTCCTTCCCTCAAGACTCAGGCTGGGGAGGAGAGGGGTAGGTGGGATCAATCTTGCTTGTGTCAGCCTTGGTGCCCCTTCAGTGATCAAGCATAGCCACATCCTCTGAGACCTGAGGTTTAGAATAGGAAGTCACTTGCCTGCAGTACCATCTGGTGGAGCTGGGACTAGAATTCAGGCCTGCATGTCCCACACCTTCTGCTGGAAGTACTAAGCCCTGTGTCTTACATTATAGCTATAGGAAACCAAGGCTCAGAGTGGGCAAGGCAAAGCCCAAGGTGCACTCTAGACTTGGGCCTCCTCTGCCCTGGCTCTCTGCCCCTCTCTCCCACAGTGATGTTCGCTTTGTGGTCGGTCAAGAACGGCAGGAGGTATTTGCCCACCGGTGCTTGTTGGCCTGTAGATGCAGCTTCTTCCAGCGACTTCTGGGCTCAGAGCCGGGCCCCAGGGTGCCAAGTCCCGTGGTGCTAAGCACTGTGCCAGCTGAGGCCTTCCTGGCAGTGCTGGAGTTCCTGTACACCAACAGTGTTGAGCTGCACCGCCACTCTGTGAGCCCACTGAGCAGGGGCCTGGGTGGGAGAGGCTAGGGGTAAAAGAGGCAGGAGTTTGCCCATCATGCTGTGGGCTGCTGGGCAGGGGAAACTCCCTTCTGTTCCCCAACCGCCCACTCTGCAGGTGCTGGAGGTGCTGACGGCAGCTGTGGAGTATGGGCTGGAGGAACTGCGAGAGGTGGGTTTCTGTGCCAGGTCCCTGTCTCGTTTCCCTTGCCTCTCATGGGCCGCTTCCCACCCTGCTTCACACACACTCTGGCCTGGAGAGGAATGTGTGTCCACACAGGAGTATGGGTGTCTTTCTGTGTAAGCAGAGCATGTATGTGTGCCTATGTGCAAAAGGATTCTCGGGTGCCCTGTGTGCTGTGTGGGCAGCGGGGGTGCTTATGGCTGGCGCTGGAGATACAAGGATAAGTCAGCCTTGATCCCTGTTCTGATAGACACATGGAAACACTTAATAGGGTGGCATAAGAAGTGTGATAGGTGAAGGTGAATGATGCTGAGACTGTGTGGAGGGTCTCCCTAGTCCCACCACCAGGGAGAGGAGGAGAAGACTTCCTGGAAGAGGAAACATTCATGCTGGATCTGGTAGAACAAACAGGATTTTGTGGCCAGGTCTGGTGGGTCATGCCTGTAATCCTAGCACTTTGGGAGGCCAAGGTGGGAGGATTGTTTGAGGCCAGGAGTTCAAGACCAGCCTAAGCAACATAGCAAGGCCCCGTCTCTACAAAAAATTTTAAAACTTAGCCAGGTGTGGTGGTATGCACCAGTAGTCCCAGCTACTCAGGAGGCTAAGGCAGGAGGATCACTTGAGCCCAGGAGTTGGAGGTTGCAGTAAGCAATGATCACACCACTGTACTCGGCCTGGACAACAGAGTAAGACCCTCTCTCTTAAAAAAAAAATAGGATTTTGTTCAGAGGGGGAGTGGGAAGATGGCATTCTAGTCACAGAGGCACCAAAGGAGCTAGTGAGACATTTGGTGTGGCTGGACTAGGAATTGGGGTGTGAGGAGAGGGCAAGGTGAGACTAGAGAGGGTGCCCAGGCTGGTTCATGTAGGGCCTTCAAGCATTTGGACTTCTTTTAACTAGAGGGCAGTGGAGACTCAGTGAAGGTTTTGAGTAAGGGAATGAGGATTTGGTAGCTAAGGGAGAAGGGACTGGAAGAGATGGAAAGCACCTGCCAGTTCAGCCAGGAGGACAGTGCAGCAGTCAAGAGATGATGTGGCTCATGCCCGTAGTCCCAGCTACTCAGGAGGATGCTGAGGCAGGAGGATCACTTGAGGCCAGGAGTTTGAGACCAGCCTGAGCAATATAGCAAGACTCTGTCTCTAAAAGAAAAATTAAAAAAGAGATGATGCGTGGCCATGATGGGGGTGTGGGGGTGGGATTGGAAGCTCAAGAGAGACGTGGATGGCTCTGAAAGAGGAGCTAGAACTGGCAGAATCCAGTGTTTTTCTGGATGTGAGGATAAGAGAGATGTCATGGATGAAACTCTTCAAGTTTCTGGTAAAAACAGAAGTGTCCTGAGTCAGGAAGGGAACAAGTAGAGGAAGATAAGCATCCTGAAAGAAGGGGAGAGTGACGTTTTTGCATGGCTCTTATCTGGTCCTGTTAGTGGTGAATGTGCTAGAAGGTGAGTTGCTCGGCTTGGCTTTGCTCATCTCCAGTTCCTCTGAGCTTGCCTTCTCAGGCTCTGGCAATTCCCTGCCACCCCTGGCCTGGGAGGTCAGGATGGGCCTGGGGCTGCTAGGAGCCTGGGTGGCTCACTGTTCCAAGGCTGCTCACTGCTTCTGGGGCAGGACTGGGGTCTTGGAGCAGGGACACCTCTGCACAACCCACATTCATTTCTGTTTTCAGCTGTGCCTGGAGTTTGTGGTGAAGGTGCTGGATGTGGAGTTGGTTTGTGAGGCCCTGCAGGTGGGTGCTGCTGGCCACGCCTGGGAGGAGTCTGGCTTTCAGTATGTGAAATCGAGTTCCCAGGTGCCAGGAGCCTTGACCTCCAGACCTTGTCTGGCCTGGAACAACCTGAGTGTATGGGGTAGGGGTGGGGAGGGAGTGTCCAAGGATGTTTGTAGGATGAACTCAGTGCCCAGGATCCCTCAGATCTGGGATCTGGGGGACATCAGCAGGGTCAAGTGTGGGAGCAGGATTTGAAGAGTCTGGAGGTCTCTGCTGGTCTCTCAGGGCTGGGGAATGGTTCTCTGCTGGACTTGGGGAAGGGTGGAGTGTAGAGTTTAGAAGCCAAATCTAGGCCACAGAGTGGGGTTTGAAGGACATAGCACAGTCTCCTGTAACAAACAGCAGGTTGTTGAGTAAGTCCAACTACATGTACATGTGCGAATGGGGGCTTTCACTGGGTCTAGTTTCCTGGGAGGCCACAGGCCCTGTCAGCCTCCCCAGCTAGGGCTACGGTCAGGCTCACCGTGGTAGCCCCAGTGTGAAGGGCTGGGCTATGTGGCCTCTCAGTCTCCAATCCTCATTCTGCTCCCAGGTGGCTGTAACCTTTGGCCTGGGGCCGCTGCAGGAGTGTTGCATAGCCTTCATAGAGGCCCACAGCCAGGTACAGCTCATCTGCATACTCCTGACCCCACACCCCCCATTCTGCTCGTCCCTGACCCATACGCCGGCCCGCAGGAGGCGCTCCGGACCAGAGGTTTTCTGGAACTGTCGGCGCCCGCGCTGCTGCCCCTGCTGCGCAGCGACAAGCTCTGCGTGGACGAGGCTGAGCTGGTCCGGGCGGCCCGGAGCTGGGCGCGAGTGGGCGCGGTGAGCTGGGGCTGGGGGAGCGCGAGGGCGCTGAAGGAGGTGCAGGCTGCGGGAACCCGGCGAGCGGGCGGCGGCCTGGGCTCAGGGCTGGCGTTCGCAGGCGGTGCTGGAGCGGCCTGTGGCCCAGGTGGCGGCCCCGGTGGTGAGAGAGCTGAGACTGGCCTTGTTGGCTCCAGCAGAGCTGAGCGCCCTGGAAGAGCAGAACCGGAGGGAGCCGTTCATCCCGGTGCGGACGCGGGCAGATCCACTCAGCAGCGTGGGGTCAAGGCGCCGAGGGTGGGGAGGAGGAGGTGGGGGCGGCCCTTTCGGGGCGAGGGGGCACCACGGAAGTCCGCGGTGACCGGCCTTGCTCTGCAGGTGGAGCAGATCGTGGAGGCGTGGAAGTGTCACGCCCTTCAGAGAGGGCATGAGGCTCGGGGCGCTCCTTGTCGCCGTCGGAGAGGCACCCTGCCCCGGGAGCATCACCGCTTTCTGGACCTGCCCTTCAAATGACTCAACGCCAGGATTTCGAAGACTCCTGAGCCTGCCCTAAACTACACCTCCCGACGTGCTCGGCGCTCGGAGCAAGCTTCTGCTCCCGGCATGCCCCGCGAGCGGGGCGCCGGAAGGACTCTTCTCTGCCATGCGCAGCGCTCTGTGCGTGGGTTATAGGGCGGGGTCGAAATTCGAAATCAAGGTGTTTTTAGCTGCACGCCTTCACCGTGCGCGCTGACGCTGGACATTTTCGTTCACCGGTCTACTCTGATGACTCTCACATATCTATTCAGCTCAGCTCCCTCTTTAATTCCGGACCTGTCTCCTGGAGGTCACTCCTTGAGTGCCCCGCAAACACCCCAGTTTCAATGCAAAATTGAGCTTCCCTTCTTTTACCCAGCTGTGCCACCATCGTGTTTCTCATTTCCGAGGTTGCCCACGCCAGAAACCTGGATTGCATCCTTATCTCTCTTCCTCACACTTGTCTCAAGTGTGAGGTCGCCCTACCCTCTAAGAGACCTCTCTCTAGTTGGTTTAATTTTCCAAGCCACGGGTTCAGCCTATCCTGACATGTCTTGTTAGTCTTTCCGCCTTCACTCCATCGCACCCTCAGTCCATTTCCCACTCTTCAGCCCCACCTGAGATCTCTGTCCTACTTCCCTTATTAATTCCCCCAACATCCCTGTTGTCCTCCAGGACAAAATGCAATCTATTTCACTTTCAAGACAATCAAAACTACTAGTGGTTCCTAAATGCTAGCAACTCCTCTCAAACACTACCTTTACATAGATTCACTCATCCCAGAGGTATTAGTTCTCTAGCTCCAAATTCACTCTCTTGGTTATTGAAGACTCCTCTGCTCTCTCTAATTCATCTCATACATCTTGTCTTCCTGAGGACCTGAATCTCTCTGCAGAAAGATCCCTGGGGCCTAAAGAGGTGCCTTATTCATTTCTGCTTCCTCAGTCCCTGTCACATAATGAATGCTCTGTAAATGTTAAGTTAATGACTTTATTTCCTTATTTAAATGCCACTTTATTCCATAAAGAGTTTTAAGGGATCTGCAAAACAATATACCATCAATCTAAAATGAGAGACAGTTGACTGTTTAGAAGAAAATTAAGTTAGATTTCTATCTCAGGGACTTTATAAAAAAATACATTGCATATGGTTTAAAGATAGTTATTTGGCATTCTCCCACAGGAATGAAAATGTGGTTATCCAGTAGTACCATTGCATGGCAACATTGTTGGGAGAGTGAAAATTGAAAATAATCTATATGTCCATTAATAAAGGACTGGTTATATTAGCTATGGTATATTTCTACAACGATATGGAAAGATAGCCATGATCTTTGGTGAAATAAAGCACAGTGCAGAATAAGTACAGCGCGATTCCTTTTGTTAAAAGGAAAGATAGCATAGTGATTAAGTGTGTGTTTTTTGGAGCCAGGATGCTTGTGTTTGAATCCCAGCTCCACCACATAATGGCTTTGTTACTTGAGTTAGGATACTTAATTTTTATCTACCCCAGTTTCCTTATTTATAAAATGGAGGTAATAATAGAACCTATTTAGTAGGGTTGTTAGGAAGATGAAATTAGTTAATTTTGTAAAATACTTAGAACTGCAGCCAGGTGTGGTTGCTTATGCCTGTAATCCCAGCTACTTGAGAAGATCACTTTAAGCCAAGAGTTCAGGACCAGCCCGGGCAACATAGTGAGACCCCCGTCTCTACCAAAAAACAAACAAACAAAAAAAAAACACAAAAAAACCAAGAAGCAGAACTGTAGCTGGACAGATTAAACACTGTATATGTGTTTAGAAAATAAATACATTCATTTGTTCCTTAAGTATTCATCGAGTGCTTAGTGCCAAACATTGATTGAGGGTCATGGAATACATCAGAGAACAAGTCAAGTCTTTCCCAAGGAGCTTACATTCTAGAAGAAACATACAATAAACAAAGAAATAAATGTATGATATAATTTCAAGGAGTAGTTTGTGCTATCAAGAAAAGTAAGGCAGGCTAAAAAGATAGCGATTTGGTGGGAATGGGACTGTTGCACACAGCGTAGTGAGAGTGGGTCTCCCAGTAACATTTGACGAGATCTGTAGGGAGCCACGTGTCCTGGGGAAAGGCATTGGAGGGGTTTGCGTATGAGAGAATGGTATGTGTGGTTGGATTTATGTCTTTTTTTTTGGATGTTTATAGCAGCTTTATTTGTAATTGTTAAGACTTGGAAGCAACGAAGATGTCCTTCAGTAGGTGAATGAATCAATAAACTGGTACGTCCAGATAATGAAATATTGTTCAGTATTAGAAAGAAATGAGCTATCAATTCATGAAAAGACATGGAGGAAACTTAAATGCACATTACTAAGTGAAAGAAGCAAAACTGAAAAGGCTATATACTGTAAAAAAATATTTTGGCTGTTATGTGGAGGATTGGGATGGAGGGGGAAGGAGGGAGAGAGGACAAGAGTGGTTAGAAAGGTCTAAGGAGAAAAGTTAGGAGGCCATTTAAATAATTCAGCAAGAATGGGAGGAAAATCAGCTGGTTGCAGTGGCTAATGCCTGTAATCCCAGCACTTTGGGAGACTGAGGTGGAAGGATAGCTTGAACCCAGGAGATTGAGGTTGCAGTGAACTATGATGACACCACTGCACTCTAGGTCAGGCAACAGAGTTAGACCTTGTCTTAATTAATTAATTAATGAAATAAAAGGGGGGAGAATAACTGCTAACACCTTTTGTGTGTGTGTGTGTGTCTGGTGAGGTTAGACACAGAGAGGTGTACAAAATAGGGCGGGCAGGCTGGGCACGGTGGCTCACGCCTGTAATCCTAGCTCTCTTGGAGACCGAGGCGGGCGGATTGTTTGAGCTCAGGAGTTCGAAACCACCCTGAGCAAGAGCGAGACCCCGTCTCTACTAAAAATAGAAAGAAATTAATCGGACAACTAAAAATACATAGAAAAAAGTAACCGGGCATGGTGGCGCATGCCTGTAGTCCCAGCTACTCAGCAGGCTGAGGCAGGAGGATCGCTTGAGCCCAGGAGTGTGAGGTTGCTGTGAGCTAGGCTGACGCCACGGCACTCTAGCCCGGGCAACACAGTGAGACTGTCAAAAAAAAAAAAAAAAAAATAGAGCAGGCAAACTATAGCCTGTCACCTGTTTTGTGAATAAAGTTTTGCTAAAACACAGCCATACTCACTAATGTATTGTCCATGGCTGCTTCTGTGCTGTGATGGCAGAGTTGTAACAGAGATTCGGTGGCCCACCAAGCCTGAAATAGTTACTACCTGGCTCTTTACAGAAAGTTTAGAAAGGGTTAGAGTACAGTGGCATCATCATAGCTCACTGCAACCTCAAACACCTGGGCTCAAGCAATCCTCTTGCCTCAGCCTGCCGAGTAGCTGGGACTACAGGTGCATGCCACTGTGGCCAGCTAGTTTTTTCTATTTTTAATAGAGACCCTTTTGCTCAGGCTGGTCTCAAACTTCTGGCTTCAAGCGATCCTCCTGCCTCAGCCTCCCTAAGTGCTAGGATTGCAGGTGAGTGCTACCCTGCCCAGACCTTTGCTAACAACTAGTTGTTAGGAATGGAACTAGGTAGCCACTCAGGAGTGATAGATTTGTCCCTTCTGTGCATTTCTACCCAAAAAGGTCAGAAGCAATAATGGCAAATAAATGTTATCTTCTCTTCCTGAACTTTAGCCCTCAAATCTGCAACTAACAAGTAAAAATAAGGTAAAATCAAGTCCACACCAAAAAAACACCATGGTAACAACTGTGAAGTCAAAACCTAAAATGGTCATAAGCCTAACTGACGAGCGTCAGTAATGCCACGAGACACAGTAACTTCTACACTTTAACATTATGAGTAGCCCCATCAATAAAAATGAGGCTTTAAAAAGTGCATTAAAATGCAAGACTTCCTCTCCACGGAAATCTTTAGTAAAAGGCAAAAGATTTATACAATCTGAAGAGAAACCAGAGTGTAACTATACTTTTCTGCTTCGAACTTCCCAGGGATGGAGCTCAAGCAACGTAAAGCTGTCTTTTTGTGGTGCACCATGGGTATGCAAATACGGGTGGCTCCCGGCTGGTCCGGAATACCAGCAGCAGGGTGAGGCAGGGCTGCGGCTTCCCTTACTCTTCTCTGCAGGTCCGTTTGCCCCAGGGAGGTGTGGGCGGTGCTGGGTGCTGAGTGCCTTGCTTGGGCTGGTATTGGAAAGTATTAGTCCCAAGTGTTCAGTCCTGTCATTCTGTACCTGCAGTGAGCCCCCAGCCCCAGGGAGACAGAAGGGAAGAGGCCAAGCACACTTAGGGGAAGTGGGACCACTTGCGAGGCATGTCACCATCCCCTCCTGGAGGAGATGGCTTTTAGTTCATCTTGAAGGATGATTTGGGGTTAGGTCAAAGGGGAGGAGGGTAGGTGTTCTAGGCAGAGGGAATGACCTATGTAAAATTATGGAGGTGAAGACCAAAAGTAATCCAGCCTGTCTAGAGAGTGGAGTGTGGGTGTATCTGAGTGAGGGTGTGAATCTGGTGGGGACACCTTCTGCGGGGGTGTGGTGGGGGGTGGTAGGCAGAGGCTAGATCTTGTGGGGCCTGGAAAGGGTTTGGGTTTTATCTCATCAGTGATGGGGCAACCATGGAAGGGTGATGAAGTCAGAGGGCTGAGTAGTGCAAGGTGCAAGGTGCCACATAGGGTGGGCTGCCTTGCAGGCAGTACTGGGACTTGACCTCTGAGACCGGATGTGGTCAGTATCCCAAGACTGCCCACTTCTGGAGTGGTCCACCTCCAACTGACCCCTTAAGCTGCTGCCACACGAGGACACCCTTCTTTGTTTCAGGATTGTTCCCTAAGCGTGCAATCAGAGCAAAAACTTTCGGCATAGCTACCATACAAACTACAAAAATAAACAGAAAGCATCTATGAGATGCCAGGTCATTTCTTGCATAAATGATTTCATCTAAAATCCTGAAAGAAAAAAATAGTACCCTCTAAGATAGGCTCTAATCTTCCCATTTCATAGATGAAGATGACGAGGCTCAGTGAGGTTAGCTAACTTGCTAGTAAGTGGCACAGTGGGCTGACATCCTTTGCACTGTTCTGGCCTAGTAAGCTCTCCCTGCCCCACCCAGAAGCCCCTCCATAGTGACCCAAACACGACTGGACCCAAATCCAGCCTCCATCCCCTGGGCCTGCTGGATGCACTCTCTACACCAGGTTCTAAGCCAACTACCTGCTTGTCTTTAGTCTTTTTAGGCATCTTAGTGTTGATTCAACTGCAAAGGCCTTTTTTTCTTTTTTTGTAGCTTTTGGTCAGAACATGATTTTCTGGCCTTTGTCCAGGTGGGGTGGGGTGGGGTGTGAGAAGACAGTGTTCCAGGGGTGGGACCATTCCTGGTGAGTGGGTGGTTGGAACACAGGGTGTGTATGTGTATCAGCTGAGACTGAGTCCAGGGAGAGTTGGGGAAGAGCAATAAAAGACCTCCCCCACCCCACTGGGTGAGGCTCTGCACTCTATTCCAGGGCTGTGGCCATTCTTCAAGGCCTTTGTACAATGGGGCTGTTCAGCATTCACAGAACAAACAGCTTAAATTCAGTGCCCTCATTAGTTGCCCCGTTTCATCCACTGGCTGGCCGCCAAAGATGCTTCCCAGGTGTCAGTCTGACTGCTGACTTACAGAGGCCTCTGCCTCAGAGGTTGCTCTGGTCCCTGGCTCCTTGACCCCAGTCCACAAACCTCCTAAAATATCTCCTTAGACCCTGCTGCCCCATTTCTGCTTCAGTTGGCTGCTTTCCTGATCTGCTTCCACTTCACCTTCTACCTGTTGCATGGCTGTGTCCCTCTGCCGTGCCCCTCCCCGTGCAGATGAAGCAGGAAGGCAGGAGATGAGCCTGGAGAGGTGGGCAGGGCTGGATGATGATGGCTCTGAAAGCCACCCAGTAGGGTTTGACGCCAAAAGAATTTACGTCATTTTGTATACTAAGCACTTAATCTAGATGGTATTACCAAGTATATGACAAAAATTCAGTCTAGGGTCTTTCCCAGCCAGAACTAGAGGAGGGTCGGTGGAGGTCCCAGGACCGCAGGCCCTGATACCACAGAAGCCCTTTCCAATATCTAATCTTCACTGGAAAACTCCTAACTCTGAAAGAAAAGCACCAAAGTCATTTGAGATGAGTTCACGTAGAATATATTTCATTCTTTAAAAATAAAACTTTTAGCATAGCTAACATCTATATATACTACAAAAATAAACATCTTCATATAAATAATTTATGTGGTGGGAGGTGGGCAGGGATACAGAGAGCCTACCCAGGAGCCACCAAGCAGGGGGGCCAGGACTGGCAAAGGGTGCTGGAGGATCCCTCAGGCTTGGTCTGCCGGCTGGGCAGCAGTGTGGGGCAGGAGCGGGACAGGGCTGCATTGCAGCCTGAAGTGCTGGCTTTCACCCCCACCCAACACACAGGCCGGGGAGGCTGCTCACAGCTGAGGGGGTGGCTGTTCTGTATGGATATCAGGGAGGTCCGTGATGGCTGAGTCAGGGGAGGGGACGCAGACAGCAGCAGCAGCAGCAGCATGGCCCACCAGGGGTCCGTCCTGCATTCAATAGCCCGTCCATTGCCTCCCAGTGACTGTTTGTGGCCCAAGTAGGATCTCCACGCTTCAGCTACTCTTTCACACAGTGGCTGGGCATGGTCCTCTAGAACTGAGGTTACCAGAGCTGGTGGCAGCTGGGGTGGCAGAAGGGGACCAAGTGGGCTCATCAGAGGCTGGGTGGATGTAGGCACCAGGCAGCGGGGGTGGGTGGAGGGCCACAGTCATGGAGGTAGTCACTCTGGCAAAGCTCTGGGGCAGGGTGGGGGACACCCCCCACCTGAGCCCACCTTCCTGTGGAGTGGGGGGGCTCAGGACCTTAGGGCTCTCCTTGTATATCTGTACCACCTGAGAAGAGATACCAGTCCCAGTGAGCCCAGGGACTGCTGGGGCCACAGTCCCCTGCAGCACCTCCCTGGTGATCACCATGATTGTTGGGAAGCTGGGGTCCTTCTTGGGCTCCAGCAGGATACGGGAGCTGACAAGTGACAGGGTATCGAGGCCTGGTACAAACCCTGCACCTTGCTCTGGATCCTAAAAGGCTAAGGTGGGTCCCGTGAAGAAGTGAGGAAGGCCAAGGGGCAGGAGCCTGGTGTCTGGGGAAAGGAGGAGGTACCATCTTCAGTGGGTGGCACCTGTTGGGGAGGGCCCTGGCTCTGTCCCTTGCCTTGCATGTTCCTACCCAGTCCCCTGGGCTGGGGGCAGAGGGAGGGTGTGGTCACCTCTGGCGGGGGGCCCAGGATGGACAGCAGCACAGGCAGCAGCACAAGTCCATGGAGGAGGCCCAGGAGTGTGAGCACTGTCAGCACCACGAAGAAGTACCTGGGTTGGGGTCAGGGGATTCAGCCTGGGCAGGCCCTGAGGCCAGCACAGACAGGCCCTGCCTCCTTGCCCGAGTCCCCGCTTACCTGACGATGAAGTCAAAGTTGGAACCAGCAAGCATGAGCAGACCCAGCAATGTGGAAATGGCCCCATCAGTCACGGGGGCAAATGTGTGCTCGAGGGCACGGGCTGCCCGCAAGTTCCGGCTACCCTGGGTGGTCAGGAAGCCCTGGGGAACAGAGTGGTCCTGGAGCTGCTCCTCTGCCAATCATGGCCCCCTCATCCATGTCCCCAACTGTATCTGTCCCCAGGGTTCACCCATACCTTGGCCCACAGAAGGCCAGGAACTAAATCCATGCGAAGCATGCATGAGTCCATTTAGGTAACACTGTATAGGTGTGTCTGGTGAGGTTAGACACAGAGAGGTGTACAAAATAGGGCAGGCAAACTATAGCCTGTCACCTGTTTTGTGAATAAAGTTTTGCTAAAACACAGCCATACTCACTAATGTATTGTCCATGGCTGCTTCTGTGCTGTGATGGCAGAGTTGTAACAGAGATTCGGTGGCCCACCAAGCCTGAAATAGTTACTATCTGGCCCTTTACAGAAAGTTTGCCAACCCCTGGTCTAGAAGAATGGATGCCAAGGTGATAAGAGTTACTCCTCAGGGTAGCATTTCAGAGGATTTCTAACTCTTCCTTTGTACTTTTCTGCATGCTGGCTTTTTTGCTTTTGTTTTAAAGGAGGATATATTGTTCTTAGAATAATAATGGGACTATTGGGGTGGGGAAAAGGAAGCTGTTTGTGGGGTCTGATCAGGTTTGTGTTTGTGCTTCCAGAAGGTCTGCAGCTACCCCTCACTTCCTCTGCCAGAGAACATGCAGCTTTGGGAAAGGCCTGTGCCCTCCTCAGTCCTAGTATTTTCGTCTTAAAGAACCCCTCTGTTAAGCCCACATTGCCATCCAGCTACCATCCCCTTTCTCTGATTCCCTCCACAGTAAAGCCATTCGAAAAATTGGTTCCCATTTTTTTACCTTCCATTCTGTCCTTAAACTTTGGGTGCTTATTTATTTCTTTACTTGTTTACTGACTATTTTTACCCCCTTAGAATATAAATTCCTTGGGGCCAGGTGCAGTGGCTCACGCCTATGATCCCAGTACTCTCGGAGGCTGAGGTTCGAGGATTGCTCAAGCCCAGGAGTTTGAGGCTGCAGTAAGCTACGATGATGTCACTGCACTCTACCCAGGGTGATGGAGTGAGACTCTGTCTCAAAAAAAAATAAATTTAATCCCCCTTCTCACTCTCCCCGCTTTTAAAAAATGAGAAAAAATAAATAATAAGTTCCTTGGAAGTAAAGACTGTATTGCTATTATATACCCAATTCTTAAATAGTACCCAGAACACAGTAGGTGCTTGAGCAATATTTGTTGAATACCGAATAGCTGACCTATCCCTCCCCTGGGTGCCTGTGCTTACCAGAGCCACGTGGACTGTGAACTCGACACCAATCCCTACAGATGCTACGAGGATCACCACGGGGATGGCGCTCAGCTTGATGCCCAGAAAACCCATGATACCAAAGAGTTCCATGGTCACCATCGCCAGGACCAGCACCTGGGGAAGGCAGGGCTCACGCAGGGCTCCTGGCAGGAGTGATTACAGGCAGGCAGGGTGGGGTGCCGCTGGGTGTCTCTGACCCCACCCCTGAAGTACTCACTATGAGGCCAGCTGTCCAGGGGTTGAGTAGCAGGAGGGCACAGACGAGGAAAGTGCACGCCAGCAGGATGCAGACAGCCACTAGGAAGCAGTGCCGCAGGCCCAGATACTGCTCCCAGAAGAGGAAGGGGGAGCCACTGGGGTAGGCATGCACCCCAGCCTGGCCTGCCTCTGCACATGCTGCCCGGGCCCCCTCAATGGCCTCTACAAAGTCTGCAGTCTTCTGGAGGCCACGCAGCAGGAAGGGGAACTGGGCAAACTCCAGGGGCTGAGCTGGTGGGACTGTGGAGGGGAGGGGAAGGGAGAGGGAGAGGGACAGTGAGCACAGGCAACAGTGGGCAGGGCCTCAGGGACAGGGCCTGTATGGGCCGAGGCTCTTGCTGAGCTCCCCCCAGGACTCACTGTGAAGGTTCTCCCCGGTGGTGTCATATTTATCATGCAGCCATTCAGGAGGTGGGGGGTAGAAGTTGGCCTGTGAAGCTGCCAGACCCAAGGGGTCACTGCTCACCCACACAGTTAGCCCCACGTAGAAGAGCTCTGGTGGAATCAGTCCCTCTTTGTCCACCAACTTCCTTGTGGTCAGCTGTGGAGGCAGAGAGGGCTGAAGGCCTGGGCCCATAAGGCCTGGCGCCCTGCTCTGCTCCCTGACCTCTAGCCCTCTCCCAACCTGGCTGAAATTCAGAGGCTCCTGGGCATCCCCGGTCTGGATGAGCAGCTTGTAGGCCAGGGCCCCGTCCTCAGAGCCATTGCGGTATGAGTGGCGGGTAATGCGTCCGGAAGCCCAGTCCTGGTCAAAGGCAGCCTGGAGTCCTGGGGGAAAACAGGATAGGGTACAGTTAGCCTGTGGCCCCAGGGGGCTTCTCCCTGCAGCACCCCTCTCTGCAGTCTCCTTGCTTCTTACCCTGTAGCCAGTTGCGGTAATAGTGCAGCCAGGTGCGGGGTGCCTGGGTGGCAGGTGGGGGCAGCACAGCCTTGAGGGAACTGAAGCGCTGGTGCAGATCAAAGAGGGCGCGTTGGGAGTGGGCGTAGTCAAAGCCACCCTGGGTCACCAGGGCCACCTCGTACAGGGAGAAGTACCTGAGCTGGGCGCTCAGGAAGGCATGCTCCTTGGTGCCCCGAGGCACCACATCTGTCAGGGCCAGCCCATCCTGCACCAATGTGGCTCCGTAGAGGCTCAGGCCCAGAAGAGCCCCAAAGAGCACCAGCACCATGGCCTGTGGGAAATGGCTACTAAGCTGGAGGCCTGGGGCTGCCCTCCAGCCCTGAGGTGGTGGGCTAAGCCCTCTGCCCTTCTTGGGGCCCAGAGACACTAAGTCTCTGCCTTGCCCTACCTAGTCTTACCTTGGCGTGTGACTGGAGCAGCAAGGGTGCAAACTGATAGCGGGCGAAATGGGCAAGTGTCCAGCGGGCACAGGGTAGGGACTTGCAGGCTGCCTTCTGTCTTGTCTCCTCCTCCTGGCCTAGAAGGTCTCGTGTGGACCCTCCAGGGCTGAAGAGCTCAGAGCCCAGTGGGTCAGAAGGTGGGGGCACCAAGTGGGCTTGGGGAGGCAGGATGGTAACCACATGCTGGCTGCTGGCTTCACAGTGGGTAAAGGCTTGAACTGTGGTGGTTAGGTGGGCAATGCCCACTGGTACTGTCCTATCTCCCAGTTCCTGGGGCAGAATCTGAATCACTCGAGCAGAGCAGGGGCTGGAAGAGGCAGAGAGAGTAGATGACAGGTCTGTGCCTTGAAATGCTGGTAAGGGGATAAGCAGAGGGTATCAATGGAAGAAGAGGGTAGGGGTGCAGGGATGGTACCTAGAGAAGCAGCAAAGCACATCGAGGCGCTGGCAGTGGCGCCGGCACAGGTCCAAGCTGAGGATGGCTGGGAAGACAAGCATCACGGCTGCAAAGTTGCAGCCAACCACTATGGCCGCCTAGGGGATGGATAGGAAGGGCACAAAGGCTGGATGAAGTCCACCCCCAGATCCACCCCCACCTTGGGCCCGTCCTGTTCCTTCCTGAGGCCTCACCTGCAGCGAGAAGGCCCGAAGAGCAGGGATGGGAACTAGGGCAGCCATGAAGAAGGCAACCATGTTGTTGATGGATGTGAGTGTGACACTGGTGCCTGTGCGCTGCAGACACTCGCCTGTGCGCTCCTGCCAGGACAGAGGAGGGATGTGGCCTCAGGTCACAGGGGACAGGGACCATGTGAAGGTCCAGTGAAGGGGAGGTTCAGGAACTTGGGATGGCAGAGGTGGGCAATAACAGCACAGCAGCTACCATTATTGAGTACCACGTATGTGTCATGCGCTGTTCTCAGCATTCAACCTGAATCATCTCACTGATCCTTACAACAATCCTTAGGACACAAGCACTATTATTACCCCTGTTTACAGATGGGTAAACTGAGATACAGAGGTTAATTGGTAACCCAAGGTCACTTGAACAAAGAGGCTTTTTTTTTTTTTTTTGAGACAGAGCCTTACTCTGTTGCCCGTGCTAGGGTGCAGTGGCATCATCATAGCTCACTGCAACCACAAACTCCTAGGCTTAAGCGATCCTCCTGCCTTAGCCTCCCAAGTATCTGGGACTATAGGTGCATGCCACCATGCCCAGCTAATTTTTCCATTTTTTTGCAGAAGCAGGGTCTCACTATGTTGCTCAGCCTTGTCTTGAACTCCTGGCCTTAAGCACTGCTCCCACCTCAGCCTCCCAAAGTTCTAGTCTTTTATTTTCTTTTTGAGACAGGGTCTCACTCTGCTGCTCAGGCTAGAGTGCAGTGGTGTGATCATAGCTCCCTACAGCCTTGAACTCCTGGGCTCAAGTGATCCTCCTACCTCATCCTCCTGAGTGGGCGGGACTATAGGCGTGTGCCATTATGACTGGCTAATTTTTTGTTTTTTGTAGAGATTGGTGGGGGGAGGGTCTCGCTATGTTGCCCAGACTGGTCTCAAACTCCTGGCCTCAGGCGATCCTCCTCAGATGGGGCCAGGCTAGAGGATGAGGCCTCACCTGGAGAGGGGTGCCAGGTGGAGCCTCTGTGAAGGCGTGTGCCAGCAGGAATATGTCATCCACACCGATTCCCAGCGCCAAGAACGGGAGCACCTGGAGGAGCAGAGGGGTGAGCAGTTGGAGGACTTGTGCAGCCTAGTGATAGCACCCAAAAAAGTTTGTTCTGCAGTCCTGCTATACCTGGGTAGTGGCAGCATTGAAGGTGATACCAAGCAGGGCACAGAGCCCAAGACCTGAGGCTACTGCCAGGGCCACCAGCAGCACCCCAGCAAGGCCCACAGCACCCTGGGACTGGGCACAGTCCCACCGCAGCATTGTCACACAAGCATAGGCCAGCTGTAGGGAGAGAGGACAGTTTCAGATGGGGGCTCCCAGGGTGGGCACTGGGTAGAGGAGGGGGCAAGGTGCCAGGAGCAGGACCCACCATGAGCAGATAGCCTCCCACCACACGGGCAGCACTGACTTCAGAGAACGCATGCAGGATGTCGTCCAGGGTGGTAGAGGAGAAGGCATGGATCTGCTGGGATGAGTTCTCAGGCAGGGCCTCCTGGGCCAGCTGGAGAGACAGGCTGGATCTGAGGGCGTGGGAGGAGGGGGTGGCTTCAGGGCACTCCTCCTTGTCCTTGTCCACACTGACCTGCACGAAGCGCCGCTGCCAGGCTTGTAGCACTGTGCTGGCCTGCTCCTCACTCCAGCCAATGTCATGTGTCTGGTAGTCACCCCGGAAATGCTCATACAGCTGGCGAGGACTCATCAGTAGGAAGGTGCTCTGCAGGGCCTCTGCCCTGGTGGGGAGTGGAGGAGAATTAGGATCAGAAATGGCCCAAACGCCCAGGGAGGAATGTGCAGGGGGCTTTTGCCAGAGCTGCTTGGTATTAGAATGTGGATTCCCATGCACACAGTCCCCTTGCCAACTCCCAGGGGAGGCCCTACCTCAGCAGCTGTCCTTGGGGGTCTCTGGCCATGCCTCCCAGCAGCAATTCCTCCTGCCAGTGCATAAATTTGTGGGAGAAGCCGTGGCAGCCCCCGCTCAGCTCCTGAGCCACATTGGGAGCCTGGGGGGCAGGGGACAGGGGAGGAATTTAATACTCAAGGCCCTGGCTGTGGATAACTGGGTATCCCAGGGCTTGTACCTCCAGGAACCAAGCCTGCCACAGAGCTCAGTAGGCCTAAAGTATTGAGAACTATTCTCCTGAGCCTCCTGACTACTTTTTAAGAATGAACAGCTAGTGTCCTGCAGATCAGAGGCCACAAGAGGGAGCAGAGGCCTGGAAATAGGCTGCTGGGAGGGGCTGGCATAACTGGTGGGTTTTGAAAAAAGAACCACATTCATAGGACCACACAGACTCTTGGAAACTAGGTATGATATTCGTGCTTAGCTATTTTGTTCTTAGTTTCCTCATACAAGTCTGTTTTGATAAAGTCCAGCCTTGTCTGGGCTTAGAAAAGGAAAAAGGGGTACCTATACCCACTGAGGGCTTCTTAGGAGGACTGAATGGGAATGGAATACTCCGGGGGGTCTAGCATAGTGGGGCAGGGTAACAACGTCCAGGAGATGGGAGCAGAGCACAGAGCACAATCAGCTCTCTCTCAGAACAGAGAAACTTATGAGCAAGGGAAAGGGAGGAAAAGCAGCCTTTCCCTGGCAGACCTGGCTGGAACCCACCTGCATGCTGTGATGGTTGGGGGCACTAGGTGGGCAGTGGAGGTCGTCAGGGTGCAGACAGGGCCGCCCCACATAGGCCTGGCCCACCTGGGCTTTGTCTAGCAGCTCCCGGAAGCCCTCAAGGGAGGCAAAGGGGCCCAGCTCCTCTAGCAGCTGCTCCGGATCCAGGTTGGTCCACTGGATATCGGGGCGGCCCCTAGGGGGAAAGCCCATGGTTGGTGAGGGTCGGGGATCAATACCCACCCTCCAAACTGCTGCTCTGGGACCCATGCTGTACCCCACCCTCCTCTTATCTGTTTATTTGTCCCTCCATACGGAGGGTGTGCAAGGCTCAGCTTCTCAGTGTTGCCAGGCTGCATCAGCCCACCAGGTTGCTGCAGTGAGCTGTGGGTGGATACAAGGGGCTGAGCTGGATATCAGGATGGACATACTTATACACAGGAAGGGCCAGAAAGCCCCCACTGAGTCCCTTTCCAAGCTGTCTACTTGGTTCTAATACATAACTATACGGGCACCCGCCTGTAAGAGGTTTTCTTTCTGGCTTGGGCAACAGCTTAGCTGATACCTAGCTAATTCCCCCCAGTCTCTTTCTAGGAATCCTTTTTCTCCATTGCTCAGATCTTACAGATCTTTGTGTTCTGTTTTGTCTAAATAAGACAGATCTTCCTTTCCTTCAGAGTTAAGGAGAAGGGGTATGTGGAGAGAACCTTGGGGAAACCCACGCTCTGACCCTGGCCTGAAGGTAATTAAGAATTAGAGGTAGTTAGATTTTGATTGTCCTCTTTGCTCCCACCCCTCCCGTCTGCTGGGGAAGTCCCCGGTGGGAGATGAAGCAGGGCCTGGGAGTGGCTGTGGTATACTCACGGCAAGTAGGCAGAGCCCCCTTGGAGTTTGGCTCCCTCCCAGAAGCAGTCGAGGGGGGTGAGGATCACACATGGAAACAGCTTCTCAATCATCTGCCAGGGACAACCCAGGCCACATCAGTCCTGTCCTTGAGCTCCTTCCCCATGACCTTTGTAGGATGCCCTCTGCAATCTCCCCTGACTTTTCTTTTCCGGTTTTTTTTTGTTTTTTTTTTTTTTTGAGACAGGGTCTTGCTCTGTTGTCCAGGCTGGAGTGCAGTGGTATCATCATAGCTCACTGCAGCCTTGAACTCCTGAGCTCAAGCAATCCTCCTACCTTAGCCTCCTGAGTAGCTGGGACTATGGGTGTGTGCCACCATGCCTGGGTACTTTTCTTGTTTGTTTTTTGTAGAGACGGGGGTCTCGCTCTTGTTCAGGCTGGTCTCGAACTCCTGACCTCAAGCGATCCTCCCACCTCAGCCTCCCAGAGTGCTAGGATTATAGGCGTGAGCCACCACACCCAGCCTCCCCTTACTTTTAACCCCCCGAGAATCTCTCTGAACCCTCCCACACCACAGCAAAGGTTCCACCTCTACTACACCTCAGGGAACAGCTTGGGATACTTACTCGCTCAATCATTCCATTTTCAATAAGGGGAACTCCTGACTTGTAGCAGATTTTGTTCAAATCCCAGGACCTGCAATGGCCAAGGGTACAGAGTTCAGGAGAAGAGGGGAATTTCCACTCCAGAAGTGGCACAGCACACTTCATCCTGCACTTCACCCCCTACCCCTAGGGGCTCAGCCAGACTCACTTTCCATAGAGTGATACTTGCACTTTACTGGCAGTGAGGGCTGCCTGGAGGTGGAGGCCAAGTGCCTCAGGCGTGAGGATGTTCTCCCCCTCCTGGCGTGCAGTCTGTATCAACATCTGAGAGGTATATGCAGCCTCCTCCCCCAGCTTCTCCTTGGTATAATGTAGCTCCTGGCTCACCCGGCTGCCCACTGCCGGAGCAAGGAGAGAAAGCTGTGTTGAAAGCGCCTGGCTGGTCAGAGCTCTGGGGGAGGTGAGGTCCTAACCCTGAGGCCTGGAGAAGTGCAGCCGAGAGGAGCCCCTGCCTCTCCCCTGACAGCCAGGCCATGGCCCAGGCTGACTCCCCAGGCTCCTGCCCCTCTTCTCAGAATCTGGAACTTGGCCAGGGAAGTGGAGAAGCCTCAGTTGTGTGGCTCTCTGATTTCTTCTGTGGTCTAGGGCAGTGGTCCCCAACCTTTTTGGCACCAGAGACCGGTTTCATGGAAGACAGTTTTTGCCTGGATGGAGCGGGTGGGGTAGGGTGGTGTGGGGAGGGTGGTGCGGGGCTCAGGCGGTGATGCACAGCCCGTTTCCTAACAGGTCACGGACTGGTACAGGGCTGTGGCCTGGAGGTTGGGGACTGCAGGTCTGGGGTTTAAGCATGGACCGGGTTGTCTGGATCTGGGACAAAAACTTAAAAATGAAAATCAACATGAGCTGGGCCTTGGCTGGGGTTACGGGGACATCCTGGAGGGAGCCCTTACTCAGTCCCTCTCAGCTCTGGTAGGGAGGACAAGGAGGACATCAGGGGCCAACAGGGAGGCTGCCATTGGGAAAGTTTCCTAAAAGAACAGGTCTAGGGCTGGGGCTGGTTCTTAGTTCAGGTTGCTCCAGACAGTGATTTATATCCACACACCATTCTGCAAACTGCTCTGGGAAGAGGGCAAGGATGGCAGTGCCTGGTAACAATGGGCCCTGCATTGGCCTAGGCAAGGGGAGGATCAGATGGCCTTTCCGCATGATGTTCCCACCCAGGCAAGATGTATATGGAATCAGCTCATGTCCCTGGTGGAGGCAGGGACATTGTGAGGGTATATGACCTAGCTGTGGTTTGGAGGAGGGTGAGGGCCAGAGCCAAACCCACCCCGGAGGCTTTGTGAATTTGGTCTGTTCTCAGACCCAGTTCTACCTGTCTAGGGGTCTCTTCCTGTTGGTCACCACTATCCCCTGTGACCCCCATGTACTGCTTCTCTAAGACTCCACCCCCACCTAGGATCATCGTGTTTCCCAGTCTCTTTTTTAAACCTACACAATTTCCTCACCATGACAGCCCCAAACCCTTGGTAACCCCCTACACATATGTACCTCTATGCTCACACCTCCCCCTGCCAAGTCACATTCCTGGCCCTCCCCTCATGAATACAGTCCGGAACAGCCTCCCCTGTCAACTTCTACCTCCTTTTTTTCTTCCTTCTCTGACTCTTCCCTACTCCTGAGTCCTTTCCCAGGCCTGTCCTGCAGTGTTTATTTCACCAGGTTGAGGCAGAGGTTGCCACGTGGAGAGATAGGAGGGGAGGACAGAGATAAGCTCCCCACAGCAAGTGGGTTTGCTGAGGGGCAGGAGGCATGGGAGAAGGAAGGAACCCAGAGATAGCTGATAAGAAAGCAAGAAAAAGAAACACTGACAATTTAAAATACAACATTAAAGAGAATAAAGAATTCTCAGGGGAAAAAATGAGGAAGAGAAAAAGATAAACCTCAGCTGACAACAATGATATGAGGACAGATGAACTGGGATGTATTGTGCAAGCAGGAAGACACGATGAGTGCAGGGGAGGGCACAAAGGCTCTGTACAGACCTGACTTTGAGCCTTGGCTCTGTGCCTTGGGAAAATTACTTATTCTCTGAGTCTCAATTTCGTCATCTGTAAAATGGGGACAACAACTACCTTGGTAGAATTAGAATCAATGCAGGCAAAGTATTATACTTAGGAAATTGCCTGGCACATAGTAGGTACAGGTATGGAGTTGTTATTCAATAGTTGCTGGGAGAGAAATGGTGTGACAGAAAAATGAGAAAGAACTGGAGGAAAAAAGATTAGATAAGTAGGGAAGAAATAGAACAGGAAGGAGAACATCAAAATCGACAGATTTGTTAAAAACTTTCACGTCTTTACAAAAGGGAAAATACAACTGTCTAACCAACACAGAAAATGAGTCCACCTTATAGAGAATCCTACAAATGTAAATTAAAACAGCAATAAGTTGCCGTCTATTAAATTGGCAAACATTTTAAAATTAATAGCACTCATTGCTGGTTTACAGGAGTATACTCTAATCCACCCAGGGAGTGTAATTTGATATACTATTTGGGGAAAGCAAATTGCAATATGTATGTTCATAATCTTTGATCCAGAAATTTCACAGGTAAGGGCCTATGAGCCATTGTAGGGACTTAGGCTTTCTCTGAGTGAAATAGGAGTTATGTTAGGTCTTTCTTTTTTTTTTAGAGACAGGGTCTCGCTCTGTCACCCAGGATGGAGTGCAGTGGTACAATGAGAGCCCACTGCAGCTTCTGAACTTCTTGGTTCAAGTGATCCTCCTATCTCAGCCTCCCAAGTAGCTGCGACTACAGAGGCATGCCACCCTGCCTGGCTAATTTTTATTATTTTTTGTAGAGATGGGGTCTCGCTATGTTGCCCAGGCTGGTCTCAAACTCCTATCCTCAAGAGATCATCTCACCTCAACCTCCCAAAGTGTTGGGATTACAGGCATGAGCCACTGTACCCAGCCCATAGTAGGTTTTGAGCAGAGGAGTGAGATGATCTGGCTTTTTAAAAATCACCTAATGAAGTATTCTGGAGCTGAGTTGTGAATGATGAGTAAGAGCTGGCCAGGGGAAGCAGTCAGGAAAGGTTCTGGACCAAATGTGTGCAGGGGACTATTAAAGGCTCAGCATTGCAGTACTGCTAAGAGTGAGCCGGGGAGGAGCCAGTGGCAATGCTGGAGAAGCAACTGAGTAAGATTATGGAGGGAGTGTGTGCTATTGAGTTTATATTTGATTCTGGAGACTTCACAGAATGTGGCAGAAATCGGGAGAAGGGCTCTGATCGACTAACTTGGCCAGATTGAATTACACCACAGGGGGGCGGTGTGGAGGCAGTTTTGCTGGTGAGGCTGACAGATCTTTTAACTGACTTTCTAACAGACCCTGATTTTGGTGGCCATCTTCTGAAAGGCCTAGTGATTAAGGACAGCTGGGATCCTCCCCAGCATCAGAGGGTGACACTTGATTAGTATAAGAAGTCAATCACAGTAATTCCATTGCCTTTGCCAAGTGAAGGATTTCGGCATAAGATGCTACGTGGTTCTTGCCAAAGAGACCAAATGGGAAGTCACTGAGAGGCTTTTGATAAATTTTTCCTCACTTTAAAAAAAGGATACAAGACAGGCATGACTTCCTTTTTCTACCACTGCATCAGCTACCTTACAATAAGCCTGAGGACAAAAGTCCAACAAGCTGAAGACGGCAGAGGAGAAAGAGAAAGAACCTGGGTCCTTGCTGATGTCCTTGGGGTGCTAAATCAACCATCCTGGAACATCTCTACTGCCAGACTTCTTGTTACAGAGAATAACAAATCAATCTTCTTCCTTCCTTTCTTTCTCCCTCCTTTCCTTTCTTTCCCTTTCATGTGGCTAAAAGCATTCTAAATGATATAATCAGGAGTGTATTGCCAGAGATTGAAAAAGGCCTCCATTAGAACAGTGACAAGGGTGGAAATGATGGGTCTATTGTGAGAGAGGTTAAGAAGGAAGAATTTACTGGTTTAGTAACCAATTAAGTGAGTGAGAGGAACCGAGGCTGACTCCCAAGGTATTTGAGTGTATGGTGGTGCCACCAATTGATACGTGGCCATCCAAGGACAGCTCTAATTTCAAGCTGTCTCTGTCACTGTTCCTGTAAGTACCAGTTGGGCTATATGTTGTGATTTTTACTTTAGACAACAATCTAAAGGGCCTCTGAGACCTTCAGCTTTAAAGTTGGCCAGGAAAGACAAGTCATGTTCTAAGTCTCACCATGGCAAAGTTGGGAAGAACCCTGAACTCTGGCCCAGAACTCTGATAGCCAATGTCCTGTTTCTTCCTCTGCTTTCTGTATTAGCAAAATGGGAACAGAACAGAGAATACTTTCAGTCCTCACCTCAATCAGCTCCTCACTGTCTAGGGCATTGTGGGAGAAGCCACAACTATAAAGAAGACAACTACAGATCTACAGAGAAAAGATCAGGTCAAGATCACTGCTTTTTATCTCACCCCCAGCCAATACGGGCCAGAGTGATATTCTGAAATAAAGGAAAAAAACCTAGGAATTGGCTACCACCTCTTATAACACCCTTCCCCAAACAATAGCACAAAACTGGTGGGGTCTAGCCTCTCCTATGTTGGAGTGTAGGAGAGAGGATGAAGAAGCATGGAGGTTCAAACAGTGTTTAGATGAGGAAGATCTGGGGAATGGAGAAAGAGGAAGGGGAGGGAGACTGCCTCTTTTGTGGCAGGAAATCCAAGAGTCATTTGGGACCACCCAGGCAGCAGTGGTGTGGGTGGGGGCATGTGCGTGTATATGCACGTGTGTGTCCTGGGGCTGGGGGGAGGCAGGCAGGCAGGCACAGAGAAACATCTGCTCTGGACCCCAGGGCTGCCCTAGAGTGTGTATGTATGCGAGTGTCTGCAGAGGGCTGGGGGTAGGGTGGGGATGGCATGTGGGAGCCCAGCGGGCAGGCAGGGTCCAAGAACATCTGCTCTGGATCCTAGGCCTTGCCAGTATTTGAAATAACTCAAGGGTGTGAGACTCCAACCTGGTCCCTGCCTTTGGGTATGGGCCAGGGCTGGGGAAGTCTAAAAAGCCCACAAAATGCAAATTTCCCAGGGAAGAACAGAGTAGAGTTTGACTCTGTCAAAGGGCTGCTATATGAAATTAGGCCTCAGGAAAGAAGAGCATTGTGCTGAAATTATTAATAAGAAGTCATGGCCGGGCGTGGTGGCTCACGCCTGTAATCCTAGCACTCTGGGAGGCTGAGGGGGGAGGATTGTTTGAGCTCAGGAGTTCGGAACCAGCCTGAGCAAGAGCGAGACCCCGTTTCTACTAAAAAAAAATAGAAATTAGCTGGACAACTAAAAATATATAGAAAAAATTAGCCAGGGATGGTGGTGCATGCCTGTAGTCCCAGCTACTCAGGAGGCTGAGGCAGGAGGATGGCTTGAGCCCAGGAATTTGAGGTTGCTTTGAGGTAGGCTGACGCCACGGCACTCTAGCCTGGGCAACAGAGTGAGACTCTGTCTCAAAAAAAAAAAAAAGGAGTCATTACTATTTAATGCTTCCTTAAGGAAGTAAGAATTTGGTCCCATCTGACTCTGGCTGTTGCCTCAAAAGTGTGGATTCTGTGCTGCTTTTCCATTAACTGGTTGCAGGGGGCCTGGGTACACAAGCCCTCTCTGGGATTGGTTGGCCAGCTGATGTAGTTGGTTTCCCCAGCCTTCTAGTCCTTACTTTTCTGATTCTTGGTCAAAAGTGATCTCTCCCTGCCTTCTCTTATACAACATATCCTGCTTTGTATTGTGCTGTAGCTATTCCAGAACACAGTTTACTTTCCTTGCTATTGAAAGATGGGTCTTGTTTTTGTTACCTTTGTAAAAACCCTGCTGTTCATGTCAAAAATACACATAGAAAGTTGGCAATAAATGCTAAATAAACACACACATAATCACAAATATTCGGCTGGGCGCGGTGGCTCACACCTGTAATCCTAGCAACTCTGGGAGGCCGAGGCGGGTGGATAGTTTGAGCTCAGGAGTTGGAGACCAGCCTGAGCAAGAGCGAGACCCTGTCTCTACTAAAAAAAAAACAAAAAAACAAAAACAGAAAGAAATTAGCTGGACAACTAAAAAAATATATATATAGAAAAAATTAGCTGGGCATAGTGGCGCATGCCTGTAGTCCAAGCTACTCGGGAGGCTGAGACAGGATGATCACTTGAGCCCAGGAGTTTGAGGTTGCTGTGAGCTAGGCTGACGCCACGGCACTCTTGCCTGGACAACAGAGTGAGACCCTGTCTCAAAAAAAAAGAAAAGAAAACAAATCACAAATATTCTGTACACTTATTCACAAGATCTACCATATGCGGATGTCCACTTACGGGTGTGGGAGGGAACAGTGCTCCCACATGCCCAGGTATACAGGCTTTGGCCAGCAGGTCCCCCTGCAGCACCAGGGCCAGGCCTACTAGGGCTCAGTAGCCAGGTTCTTGCCCTGTTCTTGTCTTGGGTTCACCATACCCAAGCAGCTATGGCCAGTGTCCACAAACTCACCTTCTACCCAGAGCTGTTCCAGGTCTGTTTCAATAATGGCTACACGAAGACCTAGTGCCAGGGCGCCAAAGGCCAACAGTCCCAAGAAGAGCACTTTGCCACAATGTCTCTGGATCCCGCAGCCCAGAGAGAAGAGCAAGCCCTGGAAGTAAGCACGAAGCCAGAGTGGAGCCTTCAGGCTCCCAGCTAGGATCTGGGATAGAAAGAGAAGGGTCAGCCAGGCATCACTGGAACAATGCATGAAATCCCGCCCCTCTCACCCCACACCCGCTCTGCCAAGCCCTAGCTTCTTGAGTTCTGGCTGCAGGACAGGGAGCACCTACACAGACACAGGCCCAAACTTGCAAGATTTAATAGCCCCCACCAACACACACCTGAGGAAGGCATAGACCTGTTTTCTAAGAGTAGGATACATACACATACACCCACACACCCACACCTGTTGTCAGGTGGACACAGAGGTGACCTCACAGATGCACTTATTTTTACTGGACAGATGAAGACGAGACACAGACACACACACACACAAAACTTGCCTGGCTGTGCTCTCACTTGTCTTCACATACCCAATGACACTTGGCACTTAAAGACGCACCTTTCAGAGGCCCGAGTGACAGACCTGGCCCCACTCTTCTTCTTCCAGCTTCCCCTCTACTCACCTGGGGTCCTATGGTTCGAGTTGGGGGTGTGTAGCTCGGGGGCAGCTCCCCAAGGGGCGATGGCTGAGCCATACTGGCGGGGATCGGGGCGCTCCCATAGGCTAGTCCGGCCCCCCTATACCGCTGGGCCCAGCGTGGGGATTCAGTGGGGCCCCGAAGGCGCGGGCGAGGGCGAGGCTGTGGCGGGGGTGGGTGTGCGGCGGCGGCTGTGGGGAGCGCAGGGCGGTGCGGGCCCGAGGCCCGGGGCTCGGCGCCGAAGCTCACCCACTCAGTGGCCCGTGGACCGCGGCGGCTGGAGGAGTGAGTCTCGCGTGCCGGCAGAACTGCTGGCCAGAGATGCACAGCACTGCTGGAGGTGGCTTCCTCAGTGCCCGAGAGGAGGCTGGAGCTCCAGAAAAAGGGAGCGGGCCGGGGCGACGCCCTCCCATTGGTTGAGGGGCCGGCAAATTACCCGGAACCGCGCGGCCCGATCCGCTGCTAGGTAACGGCGCCGCAGGGGGCGGGGCAGGAGACCACCCAAGCAGGGCCACCCCTAGCCTTGTCTCCCGCCCGCGCCCGCGCCTGGGGAGGCCCTCCGGGAGAAGGGAGGGAGATCCTGGAGAGGCGCCGCTCTGGCCAAGTACAAGTCAGGAGAGGCCGTTGCTGAGAAAGGGTGTCTGCTGGCCCCGTTAAGGCCACACTTTCTTCCTGACCCAGCCAAAACCCAGACTTCTTTTCACTCTCCCTGCTTCCATTCTTGCCCCCTTCAGTCTACTCTCTCCACTGAGGCTAGAGTCATCTAACATGTAAATCTGATGACAGTTCCAAAGCACAAGGTCCACTTGGAGCAAAGGGTCCGGTATGATCTAAAGCCTTCTCTCCCATAGTTCCCTCACACCCACCCAGTCAGTGTTCCTTTCCGCCCTGCAGAGCCACCTGTAACTTCCTAAACACACCATGTTGTTCCATGCGTTTCTGCCTTCCTACGTGTTGTTGCCCTTTTGTTTTGGCAGATAATCTTAAGAACCGAACTCAAATCAATTACCCTCTCTTTGAAGCCTTCCTTGAATCATGCCATCCTTCTGGCAGATGATTGCTTATGTTCCTCATTACACTCAATTTATATATATAATTGCATGTATGACAGAATAATTTATGTACTTAAAAGACTTCCTTCTTCAGCAGACAATAAGTAGGTGCTCAACAGTTGTTGACTGTGTCACTAAGCGTTGCAGAAACCAGGGTGTAAAGGACTGGAAACAGGGAAGAATAGAGGGAACAGTCCCTCTATTAAATCTTCAACTATCGCATCTGAGTGTGCTGTTTCTGTCCAGTTCCAGTTCCTGACTGATAAACCCTGAGTGGCAGAGTAGGGCAAAATCCATATTCCAATATATAAAGTTTGGGGAAAAAAAAGAATCTCTAATAAACTCATTATTCTAATACAACTACTATTATTTCTGGCCAATTTCTTGGCCAATTCTTCCAGACTTTTTTTTTTATCATTATATCATACATATTTCATGTTACTATATAGTTTTTATAATCAATCACTTGGAGAATGTCCTTAGGACAGATTCCCAGAAGTGGGGTTGTTTGGGTCAGAAAGTATGAACAATTTTATGGGTCTTGCTAAACATTGCCCAGTTGCTTTTTGAAAACTCATGCAAATTAACATCATCTTCAGAGCCTCAGTCCTGGGGAAAAGGAACAATTAGGTTGAAAGGGTGAACACCTAACAGGGTTGCCACTTCCATTTGTCCCTTCATCCAGCAAAATGCCTGTGGCGGAACTAATATGTCTATGATGCTGTTGGCCAACGTAGTAATTGTACATAAAAAGCAGCCTATGTGCATAATACTTTCTTCCTCCCCATCACAGAGAAATGGGTCCCACTGTGGACAAAGGAAGTATACCCCCAGCAAGTCTCTAGAAACAGCCTCTAAATTGGTCTATATGGGACCCTAGATTGCTCTTGGGGCTATAGCTAAAGAGAGAATGGCCTGGAATCAGTACTCGTTGTCATCAGGACTGCAAGTCCCAATGCTTTACGTAGTTTTTTTTTTTTTGAGACAGTGTCTCACACTGTTGCCCTGGGTAGAGTGCAGTGGCATCATCAGAGCTCACTGCAACCTGAAATTCCTGGGCTCAAGTGATGGCTCCTGACTCAGCTTTCCAAGTAGTTGGGACTATAGGCACATGCCACCATGCCAGCTAATTTTTTCTCTTTTTGGTAGAGATGTGGTCTTGCTCTTGCTCAGGCTGGTCTTGAACTCCTGACCTCAAGCGATCCTCTGGCCTCAGCCTCCCAGAGTGCTAGGATTACAGGCGTGAGCCACTGTGCCCAGCCTTAAGTAACTCCTGAGTTCATCTTCCTTCTTACCAGACTCTGCAAGACATAAGGTCCATGGAGAAATAGATTTGTAATAAACTGGGCCTTGGGACCATGCTTCCACTATAGACCCATCGCTGCTAATAATCGTGGCAAAGTCCAACATTTCTTTGGATGCTTCCAAGGCAGGGTCAGCCTACTGAGAAAACCTCTTGCTTTGTAGTCCTAAGATCAGTGTGGGAGAAATTGGTCTGCAGTTCTAGCTTTTCCAACCTAGGGCCTAGTGCCCTCTGGCTGCTCCAAGTTCCAAAATGACCTTTCTATTTCCCAATAAAACGATTTCCTGAATACAGCTGAGTTCAGCCAGAGCGAAAGCCACGGACCCCACGTAATTAGGAAGGGATAGAGGCTCCTCTTCTCTCTCTGCAAGTAGTTCTTTCACAGTGGAACATCTTTTTTTTTTTTTTTTTGAGACAGAGTCTTACTGT